TTTCTTCAAGTGCAGTCGCAAAAACCATCAAGCGCTATGATGAAACTGGCTCTCATGAGGACCGCCACAGGAATGGAAGACCCAGAGTTACCTCTGCTGCAGAGGATAAGTTCATTAGCGTTACCAGCCTCAGAAATTGCAGCCCAAATAAATGCTTCAAAGTGTTCAAGTAACAGACACATCTCAACATCAACTGTTCAGAGGAGACTGTGTGAATCAGGCCTTCATGGTCGAATTGCTGCAAAGAAACCACTACTAAAGGACACCAATAAGAGGAAGAGACTTGCTTGGGCCAATAAACACAAGCAATGGACATTAGACCGGTGGAAATGTGTCCTTTGGTCTAGAGTCCAAATTTTAGATGTTTTGTTTCGAGACACGGTGTGGGTGAACGGATGATCTCCGCATGTGTATTTCCCACCGTAAAGCACGGAGGAGGAGGTGTTATGGTGTGGGGGTGCTTTGATGGTGACACTGTCTGTGATTTATTTAGAATTCAAGGCACACTTAACCAGCATGGCTACCACAGCATTCTGCAGTGATACGCCATCCCATCTGGTTTGGGTTAGTGGAACTATAATTTGTTTTTCAACAGGACAATGACCCAACACACCTCCAGGCTGTGTAAGGGCTATTTTACCAAGGAGAGTGATGGAGTGCTGCATCAGATGACCTGGCCTCCACAATCCCCAGACCTCCACCCAGTTGAGATGGTTTGGGATGAGTCGGACCGCAGAGTGAAGGAAAAGTAGCCAACAAGTGCTCAGCATATGTGGGAACTCCTTCAAGACTGTTGAAAAAGCATTCCAGGTGAAGCTGGTTGAGAGAATGCCAAGAGTGTGCAAAGCTGTCATCAAGGAAAAGGGTGGCTATTTGAAGAATCTCAAATATAAAATATATTTTGATTTGTTTAACACTTTTTTGGTTACTACATGATTCCATATGTGTTATTTCATAGTTTTGATGTCTTCACTATTATTCAACAATGTAGAAAATAGTAAAGAAATAAAGAAAAACCCATGAATGAGTAGGTGTGTCCAAACCTTTGACTGGTACTGTATATTTTTTATAATAAGTGTAATAGGAATGCATGATGCAATCATGAAACAATGTAACCAACCATAATATGATCTCAGAGAGATAGATAGAGATGGAAATAGAGAGAGAAAAAAAGAGGGAGGGTGGTAACTCCAGAGCTTAGTGGTCAGTGTTTAGGGGTGAAAGGTCATCTCTGCAACAGCTCCTGTGACTGCAGGTGGCTCAGCTCCCCCACTCTCTCTCTCTCTCTCTCACACGGAGTGATCTGACTGCTACTGAGCTTAACTGTAGAGAGAGACCTGTCATCATCAACAGGATGTTCCATCTTTCCTATCAGTTAGATGTGATGTTAGACTTCCCTCTAGTGGCCAAATACACACACTGCAGCACCTTCCATCACTTCAGTTAACAGTAATGATGCATTACTTTACACCTTCCATCAATTCAATGACTTCAGTTACAGTAATGATACATTACTTTACACTGTCCATCACTTCAGTTAACAGTAATGATACTACACTTTACACCGTCCATCACTTCAGTTAACAGTAATGATGCATTACTTCACATCTTCCATTACTTCAGTTACAGTAATGATGCATTACTTTACACCGTCCATCACTTCAGCTAACAGTAAGGTTGCATTACTTTACACCTTCCATCACTTCAGTTACAGTAATGATGCATTACTTTACACCTTCCATTACTTCAGTTACAGTAATGATGCATTACTTTACACCATCCATCACTTCAGCTAACAGTAATGTTGCATTACTTTACACCGTCCATCAGTTCAGTTACAGTAATGATGCATTACTTTACACCTTCCATTACTTCAGTTACAGTAATGATGCATTACTTTACACCGTCCATCACTTCAGCTAACAGTAATGTTGCATTACTTTACACCGTCCATCACTTCAGTTACAGTAATGATGCATTACTTTACATCTTCCATCACTTCAGCTAACAGTAACGTTGCATTACTTTACACCTTCCATCACTTCAGTTACAGTAATGATGCATTACTTTACACCGTCCATCACTTCAGCTAACAGTAATGTTGCATTACTTTACACCGTCCATCACTTCAGCTAACAGTAATGTTGCATTACTTTACACCGTCCATCACTTCAGTTACAGTAATGATGCATTACTTTACATCGTCCATCACTTCAGCTAACAGTAACGTTGCATTACTTTACACCTTCCATCACTTCAGTTACAGTAATGATGCATTACTTTACACCGTCCAACACTTCAGCTAACAGTAATGTTGCATTACTTTACACCGTCCATCACTTCAGCTAACAGTAATGTTGCATTACTTTACATCTTCCATCACTTCAGTTACAGTAATGATGCATTACTTTACACCGTCCATCACTTCAGCTAACAGTAATGTTGCATTACTTTACACCGTCCATCACTTCAGCTAACAGTAATGTTGCATTACTTTACACCTTCCATCACTTCAGTTACAGTAATGATGCATTACTTTACACCGTCCATCACTTCAGCTAACAGTAATGTTGCATTACTTTACACCTTCCATCACTTCAATGACTTCAGTGTTGTTGTACACACATGTATCGTGTTTTTTTGTTTCTCATGTATAGACATTTTAAGTGACACCAAGACAATTTCCTAGAACCTTGTATGTGTGGCTAATAAAACTATTCCGATTACCTTCAAATTTTGCCGTCCTGTCTGTTGGCTATCAGTGGAGGCTGGTAGGAGGAGCTATAGGAGGACGGGCTCATTATGATGGCTGGAATGGAATTAAAGGAACAGAGTCAGACATCTGGTTTCCATATGTGTGATGTGTTTGATACAGTTCAATTTATTCCATTCCAGCCATTACAATGAGCCCATCCTCCTATCATCATGGCTATATAGTGGCAACATGTTGTGCTATGGTTCTGATGTGCCATCTCTGAACATGGTGAAATATCAACGAAATAGAAGTTATCTGTTCTAAATGAATACTAAAGATGACAACAGAACAAAACCTTTAACATCTTAACTGGTTTCTTCCATTACAGAGAGTGAGGTAACAGAGTACATGGTACACTCAGTTAAGGCATTCATTCACCAATAATGATTGACAGATATGCACTCCACACCCATATTTTCTACGCTTCTGTCCAGACTGTACCATATTTGCCCCCTCGTTGAGGCTGGTCTCCCAGTTGAGTCATCTGTCACTCGGATGCTGATACTTCCCGACCCTGTGGGAAATCCCTTGTACCTGCCTCTACCGATCTATGCATTATCATCAACGCCAGGTCGCCAAACTCCAACCTTGACAGGCTTTCCATAACGATTTGCTACGTGGGTGTTGTGGCGCCTGCAAAATTGTACATAAATGAAACATCTATTAGAAATACTAATTGACACATATAGCAATTCTGAACAACAAATTCCAGGGTCCTCCAAGTCTAGCTTGTATGTGCATACGTTTTTGAGTAAAGGTTTCTGATAAAAACATACCCCAACCATGGGCTGTATCACTGCCCTCTATAGGATGGACACAACAGAACCTTCTGTTGATTCAGGTTCACAGCTCTAGTCATGTTGGTATCTTGAACATACTGGCTCCTGAGGCCATAGTATAGCAGCAATAGTGTCTTGGCAACAACTCCTAGCTGTGAAAAGGTCAACAATACAGTAAATACCACAGCCTTGCTGCTATTACCCCATGAGTGTGCATGAGGAAGGGAGTAAAGGGGTCTGGAAGTGTATGTCAACTTTACTCAGACACCTAACAAACATCTTAACTCAACCTTTATTTATTTACAGCGCGGCAATGCCAACGGCTAACGTTGTTGCCAGGCCACACGTTCTTCTTTAGCAAATGTTGGTTGGTCTCATTGGTTGTGTGTTCTATCAATAATGAAGTTGAGGTGAGTGTCCTTAGTCTAATTTAATAACTCACAGTTCCAATCCAACAATGCAGGCATGCAAAGTCTTCCTTCCTAACATGGACATAATAATATTATTTCACTAGGTCACATGATCAGGTAAAACTCTAGCTTACGTAGAGAGCAGCCATCTAAGATGACAATTGACCCAACCAGCTATTAGAGTTAATTCTGCTCTGGTGGGGTTTGCTTTGTGTGTGTGTGTATGTGTGTGTGTGTGTGTGTGTGTGAGTGTGTGTGTGTGTGTGTGTCTGTCTGAGTCTGTTGATAAAAGTGTTTGCAATTAATTTCCTCTGGGTTTAACATTAACAGCCATCTGGCAGGAGAGAGAGAGAGAGAGAGAGAGAGAGAACAAAGACAGAGAGAGAGAGAGAGAGACAGAGACAGAGACAGAGACAGAGACAGATATAGAGAGAGACAGACAAAGAGATAGAGAGAGAGACAGAGACAGAGAGAGAGAGACAAAGAGAGAGAGACAAAGAGAGAGAGAGACAAAGAGACAGAGACAGAGACAGAGAGAACAAAGACAGAGACAGAGAATGCATACATGTGTGTGTGCATGCTTGTGTGTGTGTCATTCCAGTCTTCATTGCACTATCTTTGTAGTCATTTATTAATAGTCATCCTAAAGTCCCATTTGTTGACATTCAACTTGTGTAAATACATTCAGTCAGAAACACATTGAACATGGTAAATAACAGGACAATGTAGCCTCTAGAAACAAAACCATCTACTGTCTTTCTCACTATTGTACTGTACATGCATGATACTGTAGAGACAGGAGTTTTTCTGGCTGTTTTATCCTGAGCAGGAAAAACTCTGGGCCCTGTGTATGAGATATGTAAAGATAGTCATGTCAGGAGTTGTTCATGGAAGTAAACGACTATATAGATGGCAATATGATTTAGGACTTTCATCATTTACATTCTGTCACACAGCTAATCATGCCAGCCCTGCAGTAAGACACCAGATTAAGCTATTAAGATATGTTAGTGCAGGGCTGGAACAGTGTTGGATCCCCCTGGACTAATGAGAGTGTCAGGCGTGGGAGTCTGATTTGAGCTGCTCCAGCTCGGTGGAAGTACCAGTACCAGTTCCAGTACCAGTTCCAGTCTTCTTGGTTCCTGTTGTCTGTTTCCTTCCCTTCTGGAACACAGCTGCTATCTCCTTAAATGTCTTCCCTTTGGTCTCCGGCACACGCAGGTAGGTGAACACAGTGAAGCCAAACAACAGCACCGCAAACAGGACGAACACATAGCTACCACACAGAGCCTGGCGGGAGAGGTGGAGGGTAGAGGGAAAGAGAGAGAGAGAGAGAGAGAGAGAGAGAGATGGAGGGTAAGTTAATGGGTCTGTCGATCTGTCTGTCCGTCCCGCAGTCCGTCTGTCCGTCCGCCCATGCATCTTACCTCTATGTAAGGGAAGGTCATGCCTATGATGAAGTTGCTGGTCCAGTTGGTGCAGCCAGCCAGAGCTATAGCAGCAGGCCTGGGGCCCTGACTGAATAACTCAGCCACGATGAACCAGGGGATGGGACCAGGGCCGATCTCAAAGAAACACACAAACAGGAAGATGGCCGACATGCTGACGTAGGACATCCAGGAGTAGACACTCTGGGGAGGAGAGGAGAAGAGAATACCTCTGGTATGCAATCTGGTTTCTGCTCAGGTTATGGATGTGTCACTGCAACCTTGTAGGTCCTAAATGATGTCACCATTGCCCTTGATTCTAAGCAATGTTGTGCTGCTATTTTAATTGACTTGGCCAATGCTTTTGATACGGTAGACCATTCCATTCTTGTGGGCCGGCTAAGGAGTATTGGTGTCTCTGAGGGGTCTTTGGCCTGGTTTGCCAACTACCTCTCTCAAAGAGTAAAGTGTATAAAGTCAAAACATCTGCTGTCTCAGACTGCCTGTCACCAAGGGAGTACCCCAAGGCTCAATCCTAGGCCCCACGCTCTTCTCAATTTACATCAACAACATAGCTCAGGCAGTAGGAAGCTCTCTCATCCATTTATATGCAGATGATACAGTCATATACTCAGCTGGCCCCTCCCCGGATTATGTGTTGAACACTCTACAACAAAGTCTTTCTTAGTATCCAACAAGGTTTCTCTGCCCTTAACCTTGTTCTGAACACCTCCAAAGCAAAGGTAATGTGGTTTGGTAAGAAGAATACCCCCTTCCCCACCGGTGTGATTACTACCTCTGAGGGTTTAGAGCTTAGTACTAGGGAGTATGACTAGATGGTACACTGTCCTTCTCTCAGCACATATCAAAGCTGCATGCTAAGGTTAAATCTAGACTTGGTTTCCTCTATCGTAATCGCTCCTCTTTCACCCCAGCTGACAAACTAACCCTGATTCAGATGAACCATCCTACCCATGCTAGATTACGGAGTGGGAGAGCCAAACTCCGGCGTGCTCCGATTCCTACCTATTCACCCGGGAGCTACGCAAGGTGTTCGACACCTCTCGGGTGGTGTCGGGGCACGAGGCCGGGAGGCAGCTCACGGCCTGTTGGCAGGTTGACTGTTCGGTGGCGGACTACTCCATGGAGTTCCTGACCTGGGCTCGAGAGGCAGGATGGGAGGAGGCCGCCCTGGTCGTCCTTTACGCTAAGGGGCTATCAGAGGGGATGAAGGACGAACTCTCCTTCAGGGAGCTGCCTGAGTGACTGGACGGCCTCATCGACCTCTCGGTGCGGGTAGACAATCGGCGTCGTAAGAGGGCGCACAAGAGAGGCATGACGCAAGGCGCGCCTCCGCGTCCCCCTATCAGCCCAGAGGCTTTCTACCGATTCAGGGAGGAGACGCCTCAGGAGGAGGCTATGCAGCTGGGTACGATGCGCCTGTCCAGGATGGAAAGGCAGAGGCGTCTGCGCCAGGGACGTTGCCTGTACTGCGGCCAGGCAGGTCACCACTGCGACTCATGCCCGGAGAAGCCGGGAAATGGGAGGGCTCGCTAGTATCGGGAGGGGTGCTAGCAAGCCGGAACCGAAACCTCAACTCCAGAGACTCCCAGACTTTTCTCCCTGTCAGGGTTCAGTGGGCCCGCGCTGCGCGTCGGGTGCATGCACTGGTGGATTCTGGGGCTGAGAGAAACCGGATGGACGCGGGGGGGCTATGGGAGGATGTCAGTTTTTCATTGTGGACTCTCTGGCGTGTCCCCTCGTCCTCGGGCTCCCCTGGCTGGTCACCCACAAACCCCGGATAGACTGGTCCACGGGGCGGCTCATCCTGAAGGGAGGCACCGCCCCCGTCCTGTTCCGGTCTCCACCGACCACTCATCAGCCCAAACTACTGTCCCAGACCACCTACCAGTCCTCACGTCTTCCCCAGGTCCCGCATTCCGAACTGCCTACCGCCCTAGCGGTGGTTGCCACTGGGAGGATGGCGGCTACAGACTCCGTCACCAGCACAGACCTGGCAGGCGTTTCCCGGGAGTTTTGGGATCTGGGGGAGGTGTTTAGTAAGAGGCATGCCAAGGGCCTACCTCCTCATAGGCCATACGACTGTGCTATCGATCTCCTGCCGGGCGCCATGCCCACACGAGGGCGATTGTTTTACTTGTCCCGGCTGGAGACACTGGCCATGAGGGAGTATATCAACGAGGCACTCGTCGAGGGTCACATCCGTCCCTCTACCTCACAAGCGGGTGCAGGCTTCTTCTTCGTGGGGAAAAAGGAAGGTGGACAGCGGCCGTGCATTGATTACCGGGCGCTCAACGACATCACGGTTAAGAACCGCTACCCACTCCCCCTGATGACGACGGCATTCGAGTCGTTGCAGGGAGCCCGGGTCTTCACCAAGCTGGACTTACGTAGTGCTTACAACCTGGTGAGGATTCGGAAGGGGGACGAGTGGAAGACGGCGTTTAACACACCCAGTGGGCATTACGAGTACCAAGTCATGCCGTTTGGTCTAGTCAACGTGCCTGCGATGTTCCAGGCGTTGGTCAATGACGTGCTCCGGGACCTCCTCGACTACAGCATCTTCGTGTATTTGGATGATATCCTCATATTTTCGAAGGACATGAGTGAAAATTTTTATAGGCGGTTCATTCGCAATTTTAGCTCCCTAGCCACTCCCCTTCGCCTGGATCCCGGAAGTGGGGAACACATTTGATGTGCTGAAGTGCCGTTTTACATCGGCCCCGGTCCTCGGGCATCCTGATCCGTCCCTGCCGTTCATTGTGGAGGTGGATACTTCAGACGTTGCGGTGGGAGCAATCCTGTTTCAGCAGTTCCTTCTCGGACCGTAAGACTCACCCCTGCGCATTTTTCTCCTGTCGGCTGTTCCCTGCGGAGCGGAATTACGACGTGGGGAACCATGAGCTGCTAGCGGTCAATCTCGCCCTGGGGGAGTGGAGACATTGGCTAGAGGGGGCCGCCCATCCATTTGTCATATGGACTGACCACAAGAACTTAGCCTACAGTCAGGGAGCCAAGAGGCTCAACTCGCGCCAGGCCAGGTGGGCGTTGTTCTTCACCAGGTTCCGGTTCACCATCTCATACCGTCCGGGGTTGAAGAACACCAAGCCTAATGCGCTCTCCCGGCAGTTCGACCCCGTGGACCTGGTGGAGAGGGACGACCCCATTGCCCCCCCGTGTAGCTCAGTTGGTAGAGCATGGCGTTTGCAACGCGGTTGGCCAGTATGAAAAATGTATGCACTCACTAACTCTAAGTCGCTCTGGATAAGAGTGTCTGCTAAATGACTAAAATGTAAAATGTAAATGTCCCCAATGTCCTGATTGCTGCCCCAGTTTTGTGGGGAATCGATAGGCTGGTCAGAGCAGCCGATCCGGGAGGAGGTCCATCGGGGAGGATGTACGTACCCAAGGCTGCGCGCTCGCGACTGCTTCAGTGGGCGCTCGCGTCTGACCTCACCAGCCATCCGTGGGGCGCCAGGACGTTGGAGTTCCTGCATAGGAGGTTCTTGGCCATCTGCTGATGGGGATACGCGCGCCTTCGTGGCTGCTAGCCCGGTGTGCGCGCTCACGTCAGCCCGTGGCAGGGCTGCTCCGACCCCCGCCTATGCCCAAGTGCCCGGGGTTCCACATCTCGTTGGATTTCATTTCCACCGGGAGACGGCTAAGTTGGTGGTGCAGCACGTTTTCCGGGTCCATGGCCTTCCCCAAGATGTGGTGTCGGATCGTGGCCCTCAGTTCACCTCCAGGTTCTTGAAGGTGTTCGCCACCTGCCTCGGCGCCTCCGTCAGCTTGTCTTCCGGCTTCCATCCCCAGTTGAATGGGCAGATGGAGCGCGTCAACCAGGATCTGGAAGTGGTGCTGAGGTGCTACGCCTCCAGCAACCCAGCTACGTGGAGTCAACGACTGGCGTGGGCAGAGTACGCCCACAACACCCATCTCTGCTCATCCACCGGCCTGTCCCCCTTCCAGTGCCAATACGGGTACCAACCCCCCCATTCTCCGAGCAAGAGGAGGAGGCGGCGGTCCCGTCGGTCCAGGCCCACATCAGTCACTGTCGCCGAACCTGGAGGCAGGTACGGACGGCTCTTAAGCGAGCCTCGGTCAGGTCTCAACTCCAGGCCAACCGCAGGCATCGCCCGGGACAGAGGGTGTGGCTCTCCACGCAGGATCTTCCCCTCCGCGTGGAGTCCAGGAAGCTGTCCCCCCAGTTCGTCTGGCCATTCAGAGTGGTCCGGCGAGTCAACCCAGTGGCCTACCGCCTGCAACTTCCCCCCACCATGCGGGTGCATCCCACATTCCATGTGTCCCTCCTCAAGTCAGTCACCACCTGTCCCCTGGCTCCCCCTCCTCGTCCTGTTCCCCCCACTGCGCCTCGTCGGAGGGCAGCCGGCTTTTACTGTGGACCGGATCCTGGACTGCCGGCGGATGGGGAGGGGTCTCCAATTCCTGGGTGCACAGGAGGGACATTCTGGACCCAGGGCTGATAACAACAGAGGTGAACGGCTGGGGCAGTTCGTCTGGGGGAGGTGGGCACTGTTACAGGAGGGGGTCGCAGTTCCGGAGCGACCCACTAGGTGTCTTCCTATTGGTGTCACCTGTGTCTATCTGATTCACCTGTGTATTTATTCCCTGCTAGTTTCACTATGCCAAGCAGTACTAATCAGTGTCTGATCGCGGGACGTATGGACAGGGACGTTAGAAGTGTTCTCCCTGTTTAGTTATTATTTCAGTCATAGTGAGTATTTCATATTTTTGGTTGCCTGCCTGTTTTTTGGAGTGTTCTTTGCTCCGCCTTTCTTTTTTGTGTAAAGTCCGTAATTGTGTATCCTGACTTCGGGACCATCAGTAAAGTTCCTTGTTTCATCATCTCTGCCTACCGCCTACTGTCTAACCTGCACCGCACCTGGGTCACACCTCACACCAACCGTTGCAAAGAGTGCTCTCGAGCGGCTAGATGTTCTTTACCATTCGGCCACCAAATTTGCCACCAATGCTCCTTATAGGACACATCACTGCACTCTATACTCCTCTGTAAACTGGTCATCTCTGTATACCCGTCGCAAGACCCACTGGTTGATGCTTATTTATAAAACCCTCTTAGGCCTCACTCCCCCCTATCTGAGATACCTACTGCAGCCCTCATCCACCACATTCAACACCCGTTCTGCCAGTCACATTCTGTTAAAGGTCCCCAAAGCGCACACATCCCCGGGTCGCTCCTCTTTCTAGTTCGGTGCAGCTAGCGACTGGAACGAGCTGCAAAAAACACTCAAACTGGACAGTTTTATCTCCCTCTCTTTATTCAAAGACTCAATCATGGACACTCTTACTGACAGTTGTGGCTGCATTGCGTGATGTATTGTTGTCTCTACCTTCTTACCTTTGTGCTGTTGTCTGTGCCCAATTATGTTTCTACCATGTTTTGTACTGCTATCATGTTGTGCTGCTGCCATGTTGTGTTGCTACCATGCTGTTGTCATGTGGTTTTGCTACCATGCTGTGTTGTCATGTGTTGCTGCCATACTATGTTGTTGTCTTAGGTCTCTCTTTATGTAGTGTTGTGGTGTCTCTTGTCGTGATGTGTGTTTTGTCCTATATATATATTTTTTATCCCAGCCCCCGTCCCCGCAGGAGGCCTTTTGCCTTTTAGTAGGCCGTCATTGTAAATAAGAATTTGTTCTTAACTGACTTGCCTAGTTAAATAAAGGTTAAATAAAATAAATAAATACAAATTATTTTACTCTGGAGGAACAAGAGATGGTTAACAAACATAGGAAACAGTCATATACAGACAGGAAATGTAACTCTCAAATACTGAAACCCTATTGGTAGAGAGATAGAGACAATTCATTTTGATTGGTCATACCAGGTAGACGAGGCCGACTGTCATGGCGACGGCACAGATACACATCCCTCCTAAACCAATCAGAGTCAATGTCCGTCGGCCGGCCCTGTCCACTAGGGCCACCTGCAACACACACACAAATTTTAGTTCACTTAAACAGTATGACTGTTTGCATCACTGACCTACAAATGGTTTGTCTATGTGTGTGTGTGTGTGTGCGTGTGCGTGCGTGTGTGTCTATGTGTGTGTGTGTGTGTGTGTGTGTGTGTCTGTGTGTGTGTGTGTGTGTGTGTGTGTGTGTGTGTGTGTGTGTGTGTGTGTGTGTGTGTGTGTGTGTGTGTGTGTGCGTGTGCGTGTGCGTGTGCGTGTGTGTCTTTCCGTACCGACACCATAGTAAAGACGGTATTGATAACTCCTACTCCAATGGTTGCATAGACAGGCTGGGTGACTCCTGCTCTCTCAAAGATGGCTGTTGAGTAATAAAAGATCTAAAGAGATAAAAACAAACATTATGTTTCCATTCAGTAAAGCAGAGTCATAAAAACCTCAATCTGACTCATCCATGCTGTTAAAACGATATAAAACAATATACAACAATATAAAACAATATACAAAGATACAATACACTCACTGGTGACTCAACACACACACACTTCACTCTCTCACTCATTCACAATCCCTCTCTTTTCTTCCTGTATTCTCTCTCTCAGACAGTTGTTCCCTCTCTGCCCCTCTCTCTCAGTAACTCACAGCGTTGATTCCAGATAGTTGTTCCCTCTCTCCCCCTCTCTCTCAGTAACTCACAGCATTGATTCCAGATAGTTGTTCCCTCTCTCCCCCTCTCTCTCAGTAACTCACAAAATTGATTCCAGATAGTTGTTCGCTCTCTCCCCCTCTCTCTCAGTAACTCACAGTGTTGATTCCAGACAGTTGTTCCCTCTCTCCCCCTCTCTCTCAGTAACTCACAGTGTTGATTCCAGACAGTTGTTCCCTCTCTCCCCCTCTCTCTCAGTAACTCACAGCGTTGATCCAGACGTTGTTCCCTCTCTCCCACTCTCTCTCTCATAACTCACACACGCGTTGCTTCCAGACAGTTTTCCCTCGCTCCAGTAACTCACAGCATTGGATTCCAGACGTGTTTTCCCTCTCTCCCCCCTCTCTCACCCTCTCCTCTCAGTAACTCACAGTGTTGATTCCAGACCAGTTGTTCCCTCTCTTCCCCCCTCTCTCTCAGTCAACTCACAGTGTTGTTCCAGACAGTTGTTCCTCTCTCTCAAGTAACGTCACCAGCATTGATGGTCCAGACATTTGTTCCTCTCTCCCCCTCTCTCGCAAGTAACCACGTTTATCCAGATAGAGTTTGTTCCCCTCTCTCCCCCTCTCTCATCTCTCAGTAACTCCAGCGTTGATTCCAGACAGTTGTTCCCTCTCTCCCCCTCTCTCTCAGTAACCTCACGCGTTTGATTCCCGACAGTTGTTCCCTCTCTCTCTCCCCCTCTCTCCTCTCAGTAACATCACAAAAGCGTGTGATTCCAACAGTTGTTCCCTCTCTCCCCCTCTCTCTCAGTAACTCACAGCGTTGATTCCAGACAGTTGTTCCCTCTCTCTCAGTAACTCACAGCGTTGATTCCAGACAGTTGTTGTGAGAGATGCATCATCAGGGCTACAAACAGCTGCTGCCTGTAGAGAGACGACCGCACCTAGAAGACCACAGACACACATCACAGCATTAATACAGGTCTGCAGACATATCACAGCATTAATACAGGACTGCAGACACATATCACATTATTAATACAGGACTACAGGCATATTACAGCATTAATACAGGACCAACATACACATATCACATTATTAATACAGGACTACAGGCATATCACAGCATTAATACAGGTCTGCAGACACATATCACATTATTAATACAGGACTACAGGCATATTACAGCATTAATACAGGACCACATACACATTTCACATTATTAATACAGACTAACAGACATATCAACAGCTTAATACAGGTCTGCAGACACATATCACATTATTAATACAGGACTACAAGGCATATTCACAGCATTAATACAGGTCTGCAGACACATATCACATTATTAATACAGGACTACAGACATATCACAGCATTAATACAGGTCTGCAGACACATATCACATTATTAATACAGGACTACAGGCATATTACAGCATTAATACAGGTCTGCAGACACATATCACATTATTAATACAGGACTACAGGCATATTACAGCATTAATACAGGTCTGCAGACACATATCACATTATTAATACAGGACTACAGACATATCACAGCATTAATATAGGACCACAGGCATATCACAGCATTAATACAGGTCTGCAGACACATATCACATTATTAATACAGGACTACAGACATATCACAGCATTAATACAGGTCTGCAGACACATATCACATTATTAATACAGGACTACAGGCATATCACAGCATTAATACAGGTCTGCAGACACATATCACATTATTAATACAGGACTACAGACATATCACATTATTAATACAGGACTACAGGCATATTACAGCATTAATACAGGTCTGCAGACACATATCACATTATTAATACAGGACTACAGACATATCACAGCATTAATACAGGTCTGCAGACACATATCTCATTATTAATACAGGTCTACAGACACATATCTCATTATTAATACAGGCCCACAGACATATCACATCATTAATACAGGTCTGCAGACACATATCACATTATTAATACAGGACTACAGGCATATTACAGCATTAATACAGGACCACATACACATATCACATTATTAATACAGGACTACAGGCATATTACAGCATTAATACAGGTCTGCAGACACAAATCACATTATTAATACAGGACTACAGGCATATTACAGCAATAATACAGGTCTGCAGACACATATCACATTATTAATACAGGACTACAGGCATATTACAGCATTAATACAGGACCACATACACATATCACATTATTAATACAGGACTACAGGCATATTATAGCATTAATACAGGACCACAGACACACATCACATTATTAATACAGGACTACAGATACATATCACATTATTAATACAGGACTACAGACACATATCACATTATTAATACAGGACAACAGATACATATCACATTATTAATACAGGACTACAGACACATGTCACATTATTAATACAGGTCTACAGGACTACAGATATATTTCATTATTAATACAGGACTACAGACACATATCACGTTATTAATACAGGCCTACAGACATATTTCATTATTAATACAGGACTACAGGACTACAGATATATTTCATTATTAATACTGGACCACAGACACATATCACATTATTAATACAGGACCACAGACACATATCACATTATTAATGCAGGACTACAGACACATTTCATTATTAATACAGGACTACAGACATATTTCATTATTAATACAGGACTACAGACAGATATCACATTATTAATACAGGACTACAGATACATATCACATTATTAATACAGGACTACAGACACATATCACATTATTAATACAGGACCAGACCAACATGATTAGACAGCTATACACCAGATGTTCAGTAGAGGAGATATTGAACGTACCAGGACGGCGATAGAGACTTGCGCCTCCTTCTCCACCTCCTCCTTCTCCCTCCTCATCTCCTCCAGATCAGCTGATGGGTCATACTCTCCCTTCAGACGACGCAGACCTACAAATGCACGCACATACAGCATGTGTGTATTTTTATTCAATTATTATTTATTCAGGTTATTCTTATTCAGATCATATATATTTTCTAAGAGAGAGCTGATATTTCTACAGTACGTACTCTTCTTGGCCTCCTCCACCATGCCTCTCTTGATGTAGAGGTATCTGGGACTCTCAGGACACAGTGGCAGCAGTAGAGACTGTAACACAGCAGGAGCTCCAGACAGACCCAGCAGCACCGGCCAGTAGTAGTCATTACCCAGGAGGAACTCTAGACCTAGCACCTGGGGGACAGGGGGACAGAGATGAGGGACGGACACAGACAGTGACAGGGGGATGGAGATTAGGGACGGACACAGAGAGAGACAGGGGGACAGATTAAGGACGGACAGTGACAGGGGGACCGAGATTAGGGACGGACACAGAGAGAGACAGGGGGACAGAGATTAGGGATGGACACAGACAGTGACAGGGGGACAGAGATTAGGGACGGACACATAGGTGTGTGTGTGTGTGTGTAGTCTTACCTGACTCAGTAGTATACCAGTAACAATAGCCAGTTGATGTAAGGTTCCCAGAGCTCCTCTGTAGGCCATTGGAGCTATCTCCCCTATATACATAGGAACTAACCCTGAGGACAGACCTGAGAAGGAGAGAGAGAGAGAGAGAGAGAGAGAAGAGAGAGAGAGAGAGAGAGAGAGAGAGAGAGAGAGAGAGAGAGAGAGAGAGAGGATCGAGCAAGAGAGCTCTACTCATCTCATCTACTCTACGCACGAGCATCCTCGCCTCTCACCTATGCATCCCCTCCCTCCTCATCCGCCCTCCCGCCCTCCCCCACCTCCCTACGCCTCCCTCCCTCCCTCACCTCCCCACGCTCAGCAAGAAAAGAAAGAAAGAAAGAAAGAAAGAAAGAAAGAAAGAAAGAAAGAAAGAAAGAAAGAAGAGAGACACTTTATGGAACCCAAAGCCTTCACTATTTCATCCTGGAATATCCAAGGCCTGAGGTCATCTGCCTTTGGCCTAAAGAGCAGGAACCTGGACTTCACCAAATAAATCGGAAATACATGGTATAGAGGAGACGGACCCACTGGTTGCCCTCTAGGTTACAGAGAGCTGGTAGTCCCATCCACCAAACTACCAGGTGTGAAACAGGGAAGGGACTCAGGGGGTATGCTAATTTGGTATAGAGCAGACCTAACTCACTCTATTAAATTAATCAAAACAGGAACATTTTACATTTGGCTTGAAATTCAAAAGGAAATGATCTCAACAGAGTAAAATGTCCTCCTGTGTGCTACCTATATCCCCCCACTATAATCCCCATACTTTAATGAAGACAGCTTCTCCATCCTGGAGGGGGAAATCAATCATTTCCAGACCCAGGGACATAGTCTGTGGCGACCTAAATGCCAGAACTGGACAAGAACCTGACACCCTCAGCACACAGGGGGACAAACACCTACCTGGAGGTGACAGCATTCCCTCCCCCAAATCCCCCCCTAGGCACAACTACGACAACATAACCAACAAAAACGTGTCACAACTCCTGCAGCTCTGTCGCACACTGGGTATGTACATAGTCAATGGGGACTCTTTGAGGGGCTTCGAGGGGACTCCTATGGTAGGTACACCTATAGCTCATCTCTTGGCAGTAGTACGGTAGACTACTTTATCACTGACCTCAACCCAGAGTCTCTCAGAGCGTTCACAGTCAGCCCACTGACACCCCTATCAGACCACAGCAAAATCACAGTCTACTTGAACAGAGCAATACTCAATCATGAGGCATCAAAGCCAAAGGAACTGAATAATATTAAGAAATGCTATAGATGGAAGGAAAGTAGTGTCGAAACCTACCAAAAAACAATTAGGCAACAACAAATTAAATCCCTTTTAGACAACTCCTGGACAAAACATTCCACTGTAATAGTGAAGGTGGTTAAATTGGCCAGTAGAACAACCTAAACAGTATATTTGACCTCTCAGCATCCCTATCATATCTAAAAAATAACACATGACAATGTTGATGAGTGGTCTCTGTAGTCAGCTGTAGAGCACGGCGATTGTAACGCGTAAGAACGGGAAGTAACGCACACTTAAGTGGGATAAAAGCGTGGTTTGAAAGGCATTTATTAGAAGAATGCAAAACCTAAGAAAGAAATTGAGAAACCTGATCCAACCAAAAACATAGAGACCCAGAAAACCTGAGCCTACCCTCCACTATGGTGAATCACTAAAACAATACAGAAATACACTACAGAAAAAGAAGGAACAGCATGTCAGAAATCAGCTCAATGTAATTGAAGAATCCATAGACCTAAACCACTTCTGGGAAAATTGGGAAAACACAAACAAACAACAACACGAAGAGCTATCTATCCAAAACGGAGATGTATGGGTAAACCACTTCCCCCAATCTTTTTGGCCCTATAACAAAGAACCAAACAGCAAAAAAATATACATGATCAAATGCAAATCTTAGAATCAACTATTAAAGACTACCAGAACCCACTGGATTCTCCAATTACATTGAATGAACTACAGGACAAAATACAAACTCTCCAACCCAAAAAGGCCTGTGGTGTTGATGGTATACTCAATGAAATGATAAAATATACAGACCACAAATTCCAATTGGCTATACTTAAACTCTTTAACATCATCCTTAGCTCTGGCATATTCCCCAATATTTGGAACCAAGGACTGATCACCCCAATCCACAAAAGTGGAGACAAATTTGACCCCAATAACTACCGTGGGATATGCGTCAACAGCAACCTTGGGAAAATCCTCTGGATTATCATTAACAGCAGACTAGTTCATTTCCTCAGTGAAAACAATGTACTGAGCAATTGTCAAATTGGCTTTTTACCAAATTACCGTACGACAGACCACATATTCACCCTGCACATCCTAATTGACAAACAAACAAACCAAAACAAAGGCAAAGTCTTCTCATGCTTTGTTGATTTAAAAAAAAGCTTTTGACTCAATTTGGCATGAGGGTCTGCTATACAAATTGATGGAAAGTGGGGTTGGGGGAAAAACATACGACATTATAAAATCCATGTACACAAACAACAAGTGTGCGGTTAAAATTGGCAAAAAACACACACATTTTAAGCCCCACCCTCTTCAACATATATATCAACGAATTGGCGAGGGCACTAGAACAGTCTGCAGCACCCGGCCTCACCCTACTAGAATCTGAAGTCAAATGTCTACTGTTTGATGATGATCTGGTGCTTCTGTTACCAACCAAGACCTAGGCCCTGACAGTAAATCTCAGTAAGACAAAAATAATGGTGTTCCAAAAAAGGTCCAGTTGCCAGGACCACAAATACAAATTCCATCTAGACACCGTTGCCTAGAGCACACAAAAAACTATACATACCTCTGCCTAAACATCAGCGCAACACAGGTAACTTCCACAAAGCTGTGAACGATCTGAGAGACAAGGCAAGAAGGGCCTTCTATGCCATCAAAAGGAACATAAAATTTGACATACCAATTAGGATCTGGCTAAAAATACTTGAATCAGTTATAGAACCCATTGCCCTTTATGGTTGTGAGGCCTGGGGTCCGCTCACCAACCCAACATTCACAAAATGGGACAAACACCAAATTGAGACTCTGCATGCAGAATTCTGCAAAGATATCCTCTGTGTACAACGAAAAACACCAAATAATGCATGCAGAGCAGAATTAGGCCGATACCCGCTAATTATCAAAATCCAGAAAAGAGCCGTTAATTTCTATAACCATTTAAAATGAAGCGATTCCCAAACCTTCCATAACAAAGCCATCACCTACAAAGAGATGAACTTGGAGAAGAGTCCCCTAAGTAAGCTGGTCCTGGGGCTCTGTTCACAAACACAAACAGACCCCACAGAGCCCCAGGACAACAACAACAACAACACAATTAGACCCAACCAAATCATGAGAAAACAAAGAGAGAATTACTTGACACATTGGAAATAATTAACATAAAAACAGCGCAAACTAGAATGCTATTTGGCTCTAAACAGAGAGTACACAGTGGCAGAATACCTGACCACTGTGACTGACCCAAACTTAAGGAAAGCTTTGACTATGTACAGACTCAGTGAGAGTCTGTACAGGCTATGTGCACACTGCCCACAAAATGAGGTGGAAACTGAGCTGCACTTCCTAACCTCCTGCTAAATGTATGACCATATTAGAGACACATATTTCCCTCAGATTACAGAGATCCACAAAGAATTCGAAAACAAACCCAATTTTGATAAACTCCCTTATCTACTGGGTGAAAAACCACAGTGTGCCATCACAGCAGCAAGATTTGTGACCTGTTGCCACAAGAAAAGGGCAACCAGTGAAGAACAAACGCCATTGTGAATACAACCCATATTTATGTTTATTTATTTTCCCATTTCTACTTTAACTATTTGCACATTGCTACAACACTGTATATATACATAATATTACATTTGAAATGTCTTTATTCTTTTGGAACTTCTGAGTATAATGTTTACTGTTAATATTGATTGTTTATTTCACTTTTGTTTACTATCTACTTCACTTGCTTTGGCAATGTTAACATACATTTCCCATGCCAATAAAGCCCTTAAATTGAAATTGAAATTGAATTGAGAGAGAGAGAGAGAGAAGAGAGAGTCAGTACCAGCCTTGTTCACACTTGTAGTGATCAGGATGTAGTGGACAGAGCTGGGCCAAATACTTATTTCCTGTTGTAGTGTGTGACTTCATTTATTGATTACTCACCACAGTAGAATCCCATGACACAGCGTCCAGCGATGACCAGGATGTGAGGTTTCCACATCTTAGCCATCCCCATCAATAGACCTGCTATTACTGCTAACACATTCACCATCAACATGCCCTTCACCCTGCACAGACAGCATAGGCATTAGCTCAGTGGATAACACAGTCTTGTGGCATACAGACGACCCGAGTTCAAACACAGTCACACAAGCGCATTCAGTTTCATCTTGAGACAGATAGATGAAGAGGGAGGTAAGGACGCTCACACACACCTTCCTCTCAGGTCTCCAACGAAGCCCACCAGGAAGGACGACACCACACCCCCGATGGAGAAGATTGACACAGACAGAGACCAATACATGACCACAGACGGATGCACTTCCTGCTTCCTTGTCTCTGTATCATTCTCTGATAGGAGACGCTCCTCAGGGAGCACCCCCAGGGACCGCCCATAATGCTGCTCAATCACCTAGGAAACAAAGTAAAAGTTTATAATACTACTAGTTGTTTACTCATTACTATAATAAACAGTGTGGGTGTACCTTCTGTGGTGCATTGATGACTCCCAGGCTGTATCCATACTGTAGAGAACCCAAGACTGCAGAAAACACTGCTAGGGCTAGAGTGCCTGTCAGCTGCTGTAGGACACAGAGATATTAAAAGGTGCCTGTAATGCTCTGACCTAGTGTGCAGGGAAACAGTTGTATGCACCATGCTGTCCCATTTGCTGTAAAATACTGTTAATAACAGAGCAACAAAACTTCTTCACATTACTCAGTGTTACTGTTTCCTGATTAAACTAATCAAGGGATTGATATTTAGTTGACTAGTTCAATTAGGTGTGTCACACATGCAGTTAACAAAAATATATGGACATTTCTGCTCTGTCCAAAATTACAACCAACTGATTGCAGCATTACTGCAAAAATGGAGGAGGCAAGTGGAAAAGGGAGAAGGTAGGGAACTTGTTTGTTTGCCCTGCATTAAAGACCAAAATTGGCAAAAGAAACTGTCAAAAATAAAAAATATATCAGTTTTACTTGAGGACCAAAACGTTGACCACAACGCCATACAGGTTGCAAAATAGTTGGGAGGAGATTTTTGATGTACCGATTCCATGGCACATGGTCTATGAACTGATACACAAAACGACGCCGGATTCCAATCGTCCCAGTTTTTCCATTTAAATTATTATAGAAAATTCTTGTAACCAATAGAATGTTATATATATATATATATATGGAGGAGACAACAATCCCAGCTCTGCAGATTTTGCTACGAAGAGACAGAATCCTTAACTCACTTGTTTTTGTACTGCCCATATGTAGCTTGTTTTTGGTCGCAGGTTCAGGAATGGCAAAAAAATTGCAACATTTACTTGGAGCTTACTCTGCAAATAGCACTACTAAGTGATTTGATAAGTCATAGTCAGTTGATCAATAATATAATAATACTCTTAGCAAAGGTTTTTATCTTTAATTTACAATCTGTAGAAACTATGAGAATAGAAAGGTTCAGAACTTTTGTGAAACATCACACAGTGGAAAAATATATGGCAGCTAAAATCAAAACGGGATGGTCTTCAGAGATAGATTGTAGGGGTTGAAGGTAGCTGAAGGCTGGGACTAAAATCAAACAAAAGATAACTAATGTAAAATATTCTGTCCGTGAAATGTATGTAGTATGTATAAACTGGAAGTGGAAGCCTAAGTATTTTTGTCCATTAGTTTACTCCAATTAGGGAAGGGGTGGTAGGTTTAGGGGAAAATAATAAAGAAGGAAAAAATATGTATATATATTTAAAATAAAATACACTACCGTTCAAAGGTTTGGGGTCACTTAGAAATGTCATTTTTTTCCAAAGAAAAGCAAATTTTTTGTCCATTAAAATAACATCAAATTGATCCGAAATACAGTGTAGACATTGTTAATGTTGTAAATGTAGCTGGAAACGGCTGATTTTTAATGGAATATCTACATAGGCGTACAGAGGCCCATTATCAGCAACCATCAGTCCTGTGTTCCAATAGCACGTTGTGTTTGCTAATCCAAGTTTATCATTTTAAAAGGATAATTGATCATTAGAAAACCATTTTGCAATTATGTTAGCACAGCTGAAAACTGTTGCGCTGATTAAAGAAGCAATAAAACTGGCCTTCTTGAGACTAGTTGAGTATCTGGAGCATCAGCAAAAGTGGGTTCGATTACAGGCTCAAAATGGCCAGAAACAAATAACTTTATTCTGAAACTCGCATGGAATAGCCTTCATTTCTCAGAACAAGAATAGACTGACGAGTTTCCGAAGAAAGTTGTTTCTGGCCATTTTGAGCCTGTAATCGAACCCACAATTGCTGATGCTCCAGATACTCAACTAGTCTCAAGAAGGCCAGTTTTATTGCTTCTTTAAATCAGCACAACAGTTTTCAGCTGTGCTAACATAATTGCCATTGGAACACAGGACTGATGGTTGCTGATAATGGGCCTCTGTACGCCTATGTAGATATCCCATTAAAAATCTGCCTTTTCCAGCTACAATAGCCATTTACAACATTAACAATGTCTACACTGTATTTCTGATAAATGTGATGTTATTTTAATGGACAAAGAAAATGCTTTTCTTTCGAAAACAAGGACATTTCTAAGTGACCCCAAACTTTTGAACGGTAGTGTACATATTTACAAAAAATATATATATGGGGGATTGGAAATTATGCACAGAATTACAATGACAGAAGCCACAATCTACAGTGGGGGAAAAAGTATTTCGTCAGCCACCAATTGTGCAAGTTCTCCCACTTAAAAAGATGAGAGAGCCCTGTAATTTTCATCATAGGTACACGTCAACTATGACAGACAAAATTATCCAGAAAATTATCCAGAAAATCACATTGTAGGATTTTTTATGAATTTATTTGCAAATTATGGTGGAAAATAAGTATTTGGTCAATAACAAAAGTTTCTCAATACTTTGTTATATACCCTTTGTTGGCAATGACACAGGTCAAACGTTTTCTGTAAGTCTTCACAAGGTTTTCACACACTGTTGCTGGTATTTTGGCCCATTCCTCCATGCAGATCTCCTCTAGAGCAGTGATGTTTTGGGGCTGTCGCTGGGCAACACAGACTTTCAACTCCCTCCAAATATTTTCTATGGGGTTGAGATCTGGAGACTGGCTAGGCCACTCCAGGACCTTGAAATGCTTCTTACGAAGCCACTCCTTCGTTGCCCGGGCGGTGTGTTTGGGATCATTGTCATGCTGAAAGACCCAGCCACGTTTCATCTTCAATGCCCTTGCTGATGGAAGGAGGTTTTCACTCAAAATCTCACGATACATGGCCCCATTCATTCTTTCCTTTACACGGATCAGTCGTCCTGGTCCCTTTGCAGAAAAACAGTCCCAAAGCATGATGTTTCCACCCCCATGCTTCACAGTAGGTATGGTGTTCTTTGGATGCAACTCACCATTCTTTGTCCTCCAAACACGACGAGTTGAGTTTTTACCAAAAAGTTATATTTTGGTTTCATCTGACCATAATACATTCTCCCAATCCTCTTCTGGATCATCCAAATGCACTCTAGCAAACCTGGACATGTACTGGCTTAAGCAGGGGGACACGTCTCGCACTGCAGGATTTGAGTCCCTGGCGGCGTAGTGTGTTACTGATGGTAGGCTTTGTTACTTTGGTCCCAGCTCTCTGCAGGTCATTCACTAGGTCCCCCCGTGTGGTTCTGGGATTTTTGCTCACCGTTCTTGTGATCATTTTGACCCCACAGGGTGAGATCTTGCGTGGAGCCCCAGATCGAGGGAGATTATCAGTGGTCTTGTATGTCTTCCATTTCCTAATAATTGCTCCCACAGTTGATTTCTTCAAACCAAGCTGCTTATCTATTGCAGATTCAGTCTTCCCAGCCTGGTGCAGGTCTACAATTTTGTTTCTGGTGTCCTTTGACAGCTCTTTGGTCTTGGCCATAGTGGAGTTTGGAGTGTGACTGTTTGAGGTTGTGGACAGGTGTCTTTTATACTGATAACAAGTTCAAACAGGTGCCATTAATACAGGTAACGAGTGGAGGACAGAGGAGCCTCTTAAAGAAGAAGTTACAGGTCTGTGAGAGCCAGAATTCTTGCTTGTTTGTAGGTGACCAAATACTTATTTTCCACCATAATTTGCAAATAAATTCATTAAAAATCCTACAATGTGATTTTCTGGATTTCTTTTTCTCAATTTGTCTGTCATAGTTGACGTGTACCTATGATGAAAATTACAGGCCTCTCAAATTTTTTTAAGTGGGAGAACTTGCACAATTGGTGGCTGACTAAATACTTTTTCTCCCCACTGTATCTGCAATATTAAAGCTGATCTACCCCCCTAAAAAATTAATAAATGTCTGTCAATGATGGAATAAAATACATACTGCTTGTTACTGTTCCTGTTTACAGACGTGCTTTTCTCAGAAATAAAAAACAGACGTAAAATATGATGAATCACTGATATAACCAGCTCTGTCATGCCATCAACAAATGAACTGTCAAATCAATGGTACTCTCCCTACCTCGGTTTAATCATGACACACGATGCCCACACACACACTCTCTCTCACACACACACACACACACCTGTCACACACACTCATGTCCTTGTGTGTAGCTACAGAGCATCGTTCAGTCAGGATTGAACAGTCGGAGATTTTACTACATTATAAAACCAGCAGCTTGGCTTTCAACGTTTGTTCAATAAATGGATTAGATACCTCAAAACGAGCATGTGTGTGTGTGTGTGTGTGAGATAGTGTGTAAAAGTGTACGGAGAGAGATCTTACCTTTCCCGACTCCATGATGGGTTCAGAGTCTTGACACCAGCTCCAACAACATGAACTGATCACACACACGTACGCAAACACACACACTTCCAGGGTAATCATCAATCGCTGGGATCACGCTGTGTCCATGCACTCATCTCGACATACACACAGCACTGGATAGAAAGACACACCGGAGCAAAGCACCTCTATCTGTACACCATATTGTTGGGCGTTTATCATTCATATCATTAACATCATTAACGTCATTAACATCACACATGGTGCCTAACATACTTCACCTCCTGTCTTAGGTTGTGTTTGTCACCCTGTTTTCATGGTGGTTAAACTCTGTGTAGTGATTAGTGAACACACAGTATCTGGGCTGGTTTCCACTGTTCACACACACCCTGGTCATCCTGAGCTCAGCACATTAGCTCTAAATGAGGGGGAAGATCTAAGACACACACACATGTTCAGTCACGCACACACACACACACACACACACACACACACAGTGAGGGACAGTATTAGGTAGGGTTAATGATATACCTTCTACAGGGACAAAGTCTGAGGGTCGGTGGCCTCAGCTGATAACTTACACTGCAACCCCTACACACACACACACACACACACACACACACACACACACCACAGAATCTAAATAAAGAAATACATTAAAAACTGAATAATGTTCTAGTATCATTTATTTTTCTGTTTTACAAAACAAAGAAACCAAAACGTTAGTGAAGAGTTTGTCGTTCAGAAACAAACAGAAGAAAGAGGGGTGTAGAGTTTTTCTTTTAAAGACAGAAACCCAACAGCAGTGGGATCAGCAGTCTGTTCACCAGATAGAGAGAAGACCATGACAGAGGTGTGTATCACGGACACACACACATGCACGCGTGCACACACACACACACACACACACACACACGTGTGCGCGGGGAAGACTGTAGTTCAATCAGCACAGCTCTTTATTGCTAACATTCTAAAAAGCAACCTGCCTACAGAACAGTAACTTCATTAGTAACTTAAGCATGAAACTTAAAGGAGCAGTCTGGAAGTTTAATTTCCGGACAAAAGTGTTGCCCCTGCACTTGTTTGTAATTTGAGGGAGTGGGTCTTGGTGAATGTAAGCGCTTGTTTAGTTTTGTTTCTTGGATGAATGTGTTTGTAGTTACTAAATATACACACACACACACGCCTTACATAACTGTTGTATTCTGGGTAATGGAGTTCTACAGAATGGCTTCGACAGCATAAAGGACAACAGCTTCAGATGTTCTCATCTTTGTTTTCATAAATGCAAATGTATTTCATAAAAACTCTTAAACATTATTATTTTTTTTTTTATAAATTAAGTATTGGTTAAATTGAAATTATAATGATTAATCTATGGACATAAGATGCTATCAAAGTGTTAAAATAAAATGGTAAACCAACAGAAAAGTGTGAACAAAACAATGGTAGATAAATTAGTTGACCTGTGTGATGTTTGCTTCATCATGCTAGGCACTGTCCAAACAGGAAGTAGTCACAATCAGACCAGACCAATCAAATCAGACTCAGGTGGGAGACAGCTTTACACAATGATTCTTTACACACAGAGACAGATAAGACAGACAGACACAGATTGGTTCATTCTCAGACGATTCTCAAATGATTCTCAGTTGAATCAGGTTTTTCTCTGGCATTTCAGCATAAAATAAAACACACAAACTGAACGACAGAAACTAACAATGTGCTGTGCAAGTTATCAAGCTCTTAACATTACAATTCAAAAGTAATTATTTATAAAGTACCTAAAACAAGAAACAAAACCTGAACAATGTGTTATTTAAAAGACAGAAAGAAAGCATATTTCTAGTAAACAGCAGAATGTTGTTATTCTTTTTTAATAACATTACAGTTGATCTGATGCAGCACCTTGAGAATTTAAAGACTTTAGAGTGGAGGGATAGGAGGAGGAGAGGAAAGAAGGAATGGAGTAGAGGAGAGAGACAGAGGCTGGGATTTTATTTTAAAGGGACATAGCCCATATTTTAGAGAAGAGGGGTGGAGTGGTGGAGAGAGAGGGGAGGGGAGTGGTGGAGAGAGATGGTATGGGAGTGGTGGAGAGAGAGGGGAGGGGAAGGGTGAAGTGGAGGAGAGAAAGAAAGAACAGTTTCAGGAAGTACCGGTTCGTCTCCACAGAGGGTAGTCGAGATCTTGGAAAACCAGCGCTCCCGTTGATCCAAACACTCACCTGCCTTCCCACTCCTCTTCTTAATAGTCATGTATCTTTTTATTATTTTATTCTTTATAGTCCTTTAGGTCTGTTACAGTGTTGTAGTCTCTCAGTGTTTCACTGTCCTTCCAGTGTGTTCTCTCAGTTAAATTCAGTGTTGGACTCTCCCAATATTCAACTCACTTGTTTGATTCAGGGTGCGATTTGATTCTCTTGGTCCATTGTTTTAATTGGCTTATGAAATTAGTCTTGGCCTGTGATGGACAGCTGAGCAGGCCAATGGGAAGACAGTGGGAGGAGTTAGTTTCACCAGTTCATCATGGAGCTACGGTTGAGGGTCATGAAGAAGACCTGACTGCTGCCTCCAGACCTAACCGACGCAAAGAACACCTAGACACACACACAACAAACACAAGCATTAAAATACATGATTGTTGCAGGCAATAGAGAATATGAATGTGTGTGTGTGTGTGTGTGTGTGTGTGTGTGCGCGCATGTTGTTTACCTTGTCATTCCTCTCACACAGGAACTTGAGTCTCTGGGCTCTCTTGTGCATGAAGACCCCGTCCAGGTGTCCTGTCTCCACAGACCTGATCTCTATGGCCTTCTCCCCCCAGCCCATGATCTGGCTAGAGTGGATATAGGCTGGAGGAGTAAGGATAGCGAGAGAGACAGAGAGAAGTTAAAAACAGACAGTATTAGTTTCACTGTATAGACTACACTGTTCTATTATGGAACACAACAAAGTTGAGATTGAATCTGATTAAACTTTACATTAACCTAAACAAGCTCCCACAGGCCTAAAACAAAGCTGGGCTCGCTCGCTCACACACACACACACACACACACACACTCACCAACAGAAGTAGGCATCTCTCCCCACTGCAGCACAACGTCTTTAGTGATGCGTCCGTAGGTATTGACGTAAACTCCCTCATCTTCATAACACAACAACATCTCCATCCCGTCTGTCTTAGGAAGAACCACGATGGCATGGGGAGTCACCTGGGTCTGAATCTATAGACAGGAGAGAGAGAGGGATGTGAATTGTTATCTACTGTCTATCAACCTGTCAGTCAGGAAGAATAACTATACATCACACCACACAGACTTACGTGTGACGGGACGTAGATGTCGTAAGGGTTGCCAGAGTCGACGTCGATGACATGGAAGCCCAGGCTGGAGCCGTAGATGACCTTTAACCTCTGCCCCTCCTCCACCGTCAGGTCAACCAGCTGGGGGCGGTGCTGCAGGTCAGTGAACGACTGGGAGAGGGGGGAGAGAGAGAGAGAGATAGGGGGGTTGCTATTGACCCCAGAGTAACCAGTATCAAACAACGTGACAGACCCCATAGTATTGTCACAGACAACGCTGCAACATTTTCTCTCAAGGAGTCCCTGTACTTCCAAGATGTCTACCTAACTAGAACGTCACATCTCAACATGGTGTGTGTGTTACCTTAAAGGCCATGAACTTGTGGTAGGGTTTGGGGGCCCAGGCATAGATCTCCACTGCGTTCTTCTGAGCGATCACCAGGAACTTGATCCTCTCGTACTTTACTGGAAACAACATACACAGAAGAGTCAATAACACACAAAGAAGAGATGGCAACACACACACAAAGGAGGGTCAGTCCCCACACACACACACACACACACACACACACACACACACACACACAGAGAGAGAGAGACAGAAAACAGAGAGAGAGATCCGTACCGACTTTGTAGTGTACGCAGCCCTCCAACTCTCCTACAGTGACCCAGCCCTGCTTCTTCTCAACCTCTGGGTCGTTGTGTAATATCCTGTTCCTCAGCCAGGACAGGTAGTACACACGCAACTTATTCTTCTTCCCTGGGAGGGGGAGAGATGGAGGGAGGGGAGAAAGAGAGGGGACAGGGAGGGAGGGTAGAGGGAAAGAGAGAGAGAGGCGATAGATAAGGGGGGAGAGATAAGGTAAAAGAGAGAGAGAAAGGAGGGAGGTGGAGAGAGAAAACAGAGATGTATCAGAACAGAGATGTATATTTAACCTGTCAACAGAGATGTCTCTTTATCCTGTCAACAGAGGTGTCTCTTTATCAGAACAGAGATGTCTCTTTATCAGAACAGAGATGTCTCTTTATCAGAACAGAGATGTCTCTTTATCAGAACAGAGGTGTCTCTTTATCAGAACAGAGATGTCTCTTTATCAGAACAGAGATGTCTCTTTATCAGAACAGAGATGTCTCTATCGTGTCAACAGAGATGTCTCTTTATCAGAACAGAGATGTCTCTTTATCCTGTCAACAGAGATGTCTCTTTATCAGAACAGAGATGTCTCTTTATCCTGTCAACAGAGATGTCTCTTTATCAGAACAGAGATGTCTCTTTATCAGAACAGAGATGTTTCTTTATCAGAACAGCGATATCTCTTTATCAGAACAGAGATGTCTCTTTATCAGAACAGAGATGTCTCTTTATCCTGTCAACAGAGATGTCTCTTTATCCTGTCAACAGAGATGTCTCTTTATCAGAACAGAGAGTCTCTATAGAACAGAGTAGTTTCTTTATCAACAGAGAATTCTCTTATAGAGAGATGTCTGCGTTATCAGAAGAGATGTTTTTATCAGAAACGAGATATTTTATCAGAACGAGATTTGTCCTATCAGACAGAGATGTCTCTTTATCAGAACAGAGATGTCTCTTTATCAGAACAGAGTAAAGCTCTACAGGCCTCCAGTTTTTTAACTAACAGAGCAATGTTCTCCCTCTGTGGTCATGTTGCGGTTATGTAATGGTCATATTGCGGTCAGTCGGTAATACCTGATATAGTAACCAGGACATTAAGTCCCTCCAGGACATCCATCTGTAGGAAGCGTCTCCTGGTAATCAGGTTATACACCTTCCCCTGACCGCTACGGTCAAGCAACATCAAACCATTCTCTGTCCCCACCAACAGGTTCACACCTAGACAGCGAGTGAGAGAGGAGAGAGGGAGAGAGGAGAGGAGAGGGAGAGAGACTCAAAGAGAAAGAGAGAGAGAGAGAGAAAGAGAGAGAGAGAGAGAGAGAGAATTCATTGTCAGTGTGTATGTGTGCACAGACATGACTAAGTTGCATTCCTATGTGTGAGAAACTTTGCATGTGTGTATGTGTTCAGATTTGTGTGAGAATATCTAGGGTTTCTTACCCCAGAGAGCAGCACACAGTATCTCAGAGTTGAAGCGCTTCTTGTATTTGCGTATCTCAGGCGTGTCACTGTGAGGTCGTATGTTGGTTGGGTTCACGTTGACCACGCTGATCTTTCTGGCCTCGGCTAGTCTGGCCTGCTCCTGATGCAGCAACTCACTGGTGAACAGACCTGGAACCACAGAACAACGTTATAGTATAGGGGGGGCAGGTAGCCGCGTTGGGCCATTAACCAAAAGGTTGCTTGTTTGAATCCCCGAGCCGACAAGGTGAAAAATCTGTTGCTGTGCCCTTGAGCAAGGCACTTAACCCTAATTGCTCTAGGGTTGACCCTGGCCGTGACCCCACTCACAGAGGGTGTCGCAGGGAGAGTTGGGATATGCAAAAACACATTTCCAATTCACACGTGTATTAATACACACTTGTATACATGTAAAATAGGACAAATATAAGCACTGTTTGTTTGTAACGTTTACACTACATTAAAACCTTACAATAACATAAACACAACATAACAGCAACCAAAGAATAACCTTACAATAACATTAACACAACATTACCAGCTGAGCTCTCATCCTCATCTTCAGTAGGGGAGGTCTGATAGGACCGTGGATCGCCGAATGGGGAGAAGGAGGCTTTAGATCCAAATTGCTGGAAAGAAAACAACCAATGAGCACATCTGTAGAAAAAAATGAAACAATAATTGTGTGTGTGTGTGTGTGTGTGTGAGTGTATTACCTCTTTCAGTGCGTCCAGGGTTGAGGGTGAAGAGGAGGAGCTCTGCTGGACCAGGTCAGGGAGGTTGCCATGGTTACCGCTGCCGTGATGGTTGCTATGGAACCCATTACTCTCACCATGGCCTGCTGCCCTCCTCCTCTCCTCTGCCTGAGAGAGAGACAGAGAAAGAAAGCTTAGCTGTATGTCCGTGTGCGTGTGCGTGTGTGGTGTGCGTGTGTGTGTGTGTGCGTGTCGCACCTCTCTCATGATCAGAGTGCTGTCCTGTGTTGTGTTGAAGGAGCCTGCCAGAGGTTCTTCAGTCAAACCTCCATATGCTTCACCCTGCTGTGGCCTGCAACACACGCACAGTCAGACCCCCTACATACAACTCACTACACCTGTAAATCCATGGCCTAGTACACACACACTTACATGACAGCCACAGTCCCATCTTGCCCCGTCTCTCCGTCCTCGTCGCTGCTCTCTGATCGCTCGTCACTCGAGGATGAGTAGTCTGTCACCTTGGAAACAGGAATAACAGAAATCCCATCAATGACCTTTATTTGGAAAGTATACTGTCTGAAAGTACACACTATGAAGGTATACTGTCTGAAAGTACACACTATGAAGGTATACTGTCTGAAAGTATACACTATGAAGGTATACTGTCTGAAAGTACACACTATGAAGGTATACTGTCTGAAAGTATACACTATGAAGGTATACTGTCTGAAAGTACACACTATGAAGGTATACTGTCTGAAAGTACACACTATGAAGGTATACTGTCTGAAAGTACACACTATGAAGGTATACTGTCTGAAAGTACACACTATGAAGGTAATAGTGTGGATATGCTTTGTCACAAACATTACCTTTCTCACCTTCACTGGAGGTCTACTGCCCTCCTCTACCCTCAACTCTCTCAGCTCCTTAGCCAGCGCACTTAGATCCTAGAGACAGAGAGAGAGAGAGAGAGAGAGAGAGAGAGAGAGAGAGAGAGAGAGAGAGAGAGAGAGAGAGAGAGAGAGAGAGAGAGAGAGAGAGAGAGAGAGAGAATAAATACATATTTGAACCCAAATATTATTTAATGCAGTGATCACTTCGAATTGTCTAACAGTCAAGGGAGAGTCCATTTAACAGAGACATGGGGGAACTGAGAGAAGGACAGAACAATAAACCATCCGCATCAACAAACATTTGTGAACTCTGGAGAAAGATTTCCTAGTAAACGACCAGCTAAAACAAAGATGTCATAAGCCAATAAATCAAAAAAACAAACTTCTAAAAAATAAAAAGGGGTAACATCCATGTCGGCATCCATCTAGCAAACACCCCCATGCAACCAGATGGTCCAGTCCCACAGCCCCATTCCCCCCAACCACTGGACCAAACCAATTCATGTAGACAGGGTGGACCTCCTCAAGCTCTTCCTAAACCACAGTAACCACACACACACACACACACCGGACACTTCAATTCACACACTTCAGAATTCCAAAAGTCTGACTTGGTCAGACCTCCAAAGTGATGTTAAGTTGAGCTTACACACGTCCCACTAAAACCTTGAATGAATGGGCCATACTGGTTCTACTGAGAGAGAGGTAGAAACAGAGAGATATAAAAGGGGGAGGTCACTAACCTCATCTATGGCTTTCTTATAGCTCTGATAGGAGAAGGGGATCAACAGCAGAAGAGATTGAGGAGGAGAGAAGGAAGGAGAAAGAGAAAGGGAGGGAGAAAAAGAGAGAAACAGATAAGTAGCAGAAGAGGAGAAAGCCTGACTCCCAGAAAGAAGAGAGGTGTGTGTTACTCACAGCTGGTCTGCTGGGTCTGGCTGCGTCTCGCCCCTCCTCCGGTCTGATCCTGACCTCCTGATTGGCTTCTGCTGGGGGGGAGGTCTCCTGGACTGGTGGACCTATCACAGCATAAGGGAGGAGTCAGCATCAATATTCACAAAGCGTATCAATAGACGAATACACTTTTTAATCAGTCACATATATGTGTTGTGTGTGTGTGTGTGTGTGTGTGTGTGTGTACCTCTCTGTGATGAAGGTGAGGATGAGGAGGAGGAGTGAGAGGACCTCCTCTGTAGAGCAGTATCCAGAAACAGCTCTGATGCTCTCAGGTCTGGATTACTGAAAGAACACACACACTGTTAATACACACACACACACACACACTGATAATAGACACACACACACACTGTTAATACACACACACACTGTTAATACATACACGAACATACTGTATAATACATATCACACACACTGTTAATACAACAACACAACACAACACGTTAATACAACACACACACTGTTAATAACACACACACGTTAATACATACACGAAACATACTGTTAATACATACATTACACACACACTGTTATACACCACAACAGCTGTTAATACACACACACTGTTATACACACACACACTTTAATACTACACGAACATACTGTTAATACTACATATACACACACACTGTTAATACACACACAAAGATGTTAATACACACACACACGTTAATACACACACACTGTTATACATACACGACATACTGTTAATACTACATATACCACACACTGTTAATACACACACACACACACACACTGTATAACACACACACACACAAGACCACTGTTAATCAACACACACACACTGATATGACACCAGCATCTGTTAATACACAACACACTTAATACATACACAAACATACTGTTAATACATACATATACACACACACTGTTAATACACACACACACACAACACACACTGTTAATACACACACACACACTGTTAATACACACACACACTGTTAATACATACACGAACATACTGTTAATACATACATATACACACACACTGTTAATACACACACACACACTGTTAATTACACACACACACTGTTAATACACACACACACTGTTAATACATACATATACACACACACTGTTAATACACACACACACACACACACACACACTGTTAATACACACACACACTGTTAATACACACACACACACTGTTAATACATACACGAACATACTGTTAATACATACATATACACACACACTGTTAATACACACACACACACACACACACACACACACACTGTTAATACACACACACACTGTTAATACACACACACACACACACACTGTTAATACATACACACACTGTTAATACACACACACACACGAACACACTGTTAATACATACATATACACAAACACTGTTAATACATACACAGTACACACACCAGGGTTGGGGTAAATGCTATTTCAATTCAGAAAGTAAACCAAATTCCAATTCACCATTTTCCCATTGAAAAACATTGAAGTGAATAGAAATTTCAGTGCACTTCCTGAATTTACTGGAATTCAAATGGAATTGAGCCCGACCCTGAGACACACACACACACACACACACCTGGCTTGTATGAGTCCCTGTCCGTTGGGAGAGTTTTTCCTCATCAGGGCTGGGGAGATTGAGGTGGTTCTTTGAGGGACCTTAGGGGGAAGCTCATCGTCCTCTTGGCTAGTGGTACGAGGTGGAGGGGCGGGGTTAGAGTCAGAGGTGGGGTCAGAGTTCTGACGGGGTGGCATTCCTCCACCCTCCTCCCTTCTCCTTCCCATCCCCCCCCCCTCTCCTCCTGTGCTCTCCTGCAGAGACTGAGAGCCTGTCATGGTCTTCACTGGAATCAGGTGGGCCATCTAGAGAGAGAGCGAGAGAAGGAGATAAAACAGGGAATTATGGGAATATCCATTTTCTAATTCCAACAGATAGACATATTGCTTGTTGACTGTACTAAAGGCTACAGCATACTAGTATGCAATATCGAATATCATTATATGTTGTGTGTATATTGGTAATTGTCCACACACACACACACACACAGAGAGAGAGACAGACAGAGGGACAGACACACACCTGTGGTTCAACTGGGCGGTGTGTGGGTGGGGTGCGGGCCGGCTGCATCCCTGCAGTGCTAAAGGACTCGGAGTGGGGGGGCAGGGAGGCCTCAGAGACCCGGCTGGAGACAGCCTTATGCTGCAGCGCTGGAGAACTCTGTCTGTTCAGCTTGGACCGATCCTCCACCTGACACACATGATTATTATTAGGACATGACCAACATGTTAATACAGCGCTGTCTACGGTGTTCTAGAGGCACTGAGGCAGGTCCCTGTGTTCTACAGGCTCATCATTGCATGTTGATCTGAGCAATCAGTCATGCAATTACTGGTTAGAATCAACTGGTACAAGCTGTAACAGAGAGATGGAGAGAGAGGGGGAGCGAGAGAGCGAGCGAGCGAGAGAGAGAGAAAGGTTAATTGCGCCAGCTGCTGCATCTAAACAAAGTTTTAAACTGATAGACAGACAGACAGACTGACAAAGAGAGGATGGAGAGGGGGACGGAGGAGAGGCGGAGTTGGAGGGTATCGTTCTAGCAGAAAAGAGTATCTGAAATGTTGAGAATCCATGTTGGTATGTGATCCCAGAGAAAAGATAGTCCACCGCCAATTAGCAAGCACTGAAGTGAGTCCTGATTGGCCTCCACCCAGCACCAAGCTGAGACCTGATTGGCATTCACCCAGCTGAGACCTGATTGGCCAGCACCCATCACCAAGCAGAACTGCAACTGGCTAACTGACCGTAAACAGGATGTGACACGTATGGAGACCTTCCTGTGACATCATCACCCTCCAGATCGAGGGGCGGTTGGGGGAAGGTGGCTCCAAGGGATTGTGGGGTGTTAGAGGTAGGGGGAGGTGAGGCAGCCTAACAGGGGAGGGGGGCGGGGGGGGACCTGGTTCTTCTTGATATCTGTTTTGATTGGATTGGTGACTATGGGAGGTAGTAGGGTAAGGATGAACCAATTGAGCTATATGAATGACTTTTAGTCAACAAAACAAGTAGAACAATTTTCGTAGTACAAAAGAGTATAAAATAATATTTTTTATAATAAAGAATATATATATATATATGTGTGTGTGTGTGTGTGTGTGTGTGTATGTGTGTGTGTGTGTGTGTGTGTGCGCTTGCAGCTAATGGCTAGCAGTTAGTGGTCTGATAGTGAGCTGGGACTGGGAGCCGAAGGGGGAGGAGTAGGGTGTGAGATACTGGGAGTGGTAGAATGGAGCTGGAGAGGGATTGGGGGATAAATAATTGGGGGACTCAGGTCGGGAGTGTGAGGGGGAGATTCTGGCTGAGGTTTGGGGTGAGGTTCTGGGTGACCCTCGGGGCGAGAGGCCCATCCAATTTAAGGCTGACACTAACTGTTTCAGAGGACCTGATCTCTTACCAGGAGAACGAGAGACAGAGAGGGAGGACTGAGAGAGGGATGACTGCTTGGGTCTGATGGGCATGGCCTGGGCCAGGTGTGATCTGAGCATGTTAGCTGGTGCAGAGGAGGCCAGGTCCAGGTTAGAGGTCACGACCTCATCATCATCATCACTGACCCCTGACCTCACTCTGTTGAGAGGGGGAGGAGCCCAACCGGGGACTTGGAGGAACGGACTCTGCTTGGAGGATTCAGGAGCCGGGAAGTGATTGTGATTGGAGGACAGGAAAGGGCGTAGCCGGCCTGCCGGTGCAGAGGCTGAGAGGTCAGGGGTTAGGGATCGAGAGTAGAGGTCAGAGTTCGTATGGCCCCCATAGGATCCCAACAGACTCTCATGGCTGGAAGCCATCCCCAACCTCCCCACACTTCCCTCTCTACCCCTTTCTCTCCATTCCTTCTCCTCCTCTCCATACCTCCAACAGTCCAACTCCCACTTTTCTAGTTCCTCCATTTCTATATCTAGTTCATCTATTTCTACATCTACTATGCGACAGGGAAACAGAAAGCTGCCTCCAAGATCATGATCAGGAGAGGGGTAGAGGAAAGAAGAATTAGAATGAGAGGAGGAGGAGGAGGAGGAGTCTATTTCTACATCTATGTCATTTACTTCTACGTCTATTCTACGACAGGGGGAGATGGAGCTGCCACTACGGCCACTGACCCATATCGGCCCCTGGTCTTTTACCCCCAGGTTAGGTCCCTGGTTGGGTCTGGAGCTGGGTGCCCAGACTGGCCCATTGTTCGCCTCTTGGTTAGGGGCTTGGTGATTAGACATGGGGCTCTCTTTTGGGGCTTGGTTGGGGTTGGGGTTAGGGCTGGAGCCTCGGTTAAAGCCAGCCTGTTGCCCCTGCCCATTATGCTGTGGCCCCTGGTTGGGGTTGTGTTGCGGCCCTTGGTGTCTAGGCCTGGGACTGCGCCCTCGGTCTTGCTGACCAGCCTTCTGATCGACTCGGCTAGGCCATTTTGGCCCCTGGTTGATGTGTTGTACTACTCTGGTATTGGGTCCTTTTTCTTTGTGTCTGAACACCCTTTGACTGGCTTTCTGAGCTCTCATCTCTCTAACCTGCTGGCTAATCTCCTGTTTCAGAAAGGGATCTACTGGATCACTAGTCTCCAGGGATATACGGATGTGAGGGGGGCAGGTGGGGTTGGAGGGGGATCGGCGAGGGGGGTTGGCGTGGGAAGGAATGGAGGATGAAGGTTGGTTGAAGGAGTGGCTTTGTCTGAGGAATGGGCGGGGTGAGTGGCTCTGGTGGTGTGTCTGCTGCTTCGGGACCTGGAGACAAGGTGGGGCAGAAGTTAAACAAGCACACACACACACACACACACACACACATGCGCGCAGACGTACACACGTGAACAGACAGACCAATTCACACATGCAAACTCTTCAAACACCACACACATCAAATATAAAAACACACAGAAGAACTGTAACAGGAAAAACACAGTATCTTGTTCCAATCCGCTCAGCTGTATGCACCACCACCTCCATACAGACAATGTTGTAGTTCGACTGAGACTGAACTTATGAACTTCAGTTATGAATGTCCAGAGACCAGAGTCTCTACAGCTTTCTTTTATCGGCATCTTCTCTCAAACCCTTCTGCTTCTGTCTGTAGAAACTATCAGTGTAGACACAGGCCAGCGTGTGTGTGTGTGGTGCGTGTGTGTGTGTGTGTGTGTGTGTGTACCTCTTTAGCCCATGCAGGTTTGTCAGTAGGACTAGCTGAGTCTTTATAGTGATACAGTTTCTTCTCGCCTGGTCGGCCATCTTGGTTTTGTTGTTGTTGCTGTTGTTGTTGCTGCTGCTGTAGAGACACCAGGTAGGCTCTCTATAAAACAAATAGACAACAGTTTACCATCTCTTCAACTATTCAACAACATTGTTATATGACATCATCATAAGAACTAAGTGCTACCTCTTGTTGTAACTGTCTCTGTAGCCTCTCTGCTTGACGTTGTTCCTCAATCTGCTTACGCTTATATTCCTATGGAGACACACACACACACACACACACCACACACGGAGATTGTTATTATCTGATCTTAACCAAATCCCTATCATGACAGCACGAGCCATGCAACAGACAGACACATGACACACATGACCAATAGCATCACTCCATACAGGACAAGTCGACCAATAGGATCCATACAGGACAGCGCTCACAGGGACGTTCCATGATCGGGCTGGGGAGTGGGGTTCCTTGCAGGGTAAGGACTTAGAGAGAGGGGAGGCAGAAAGGACCGAGGAACAACAAACACTGGACACAGGGACAAGGTACAGGTTTACACCACAGGCTCTGTAGCTGTACTTTCACAGGGTTGAGGGGTGAGCCATGAGAGGGTGGGGGTAGGTAGATGTATACATGCAGGTATACAATGGGCCTACTCCTGTAGAAGTTATTGAGAGGTCAGGGGTGAGAGGTCAGGGGTATATATACATAGACATGCAGGGGTAACAGAGATACCAGCAGTAGAGCCTGCTCCTGTAGAAGTTATTGAGAGGTCAGGGGTGAGAGGTCAGGGGTATATATACATAGACATGCAGGGGTAACAGTGTTACCAGCAGTAGAGCCTGCTCCTGTAGAAGCTGTTGCTGTAGAATCTCTAACTGTCTCTGTTCCTCCTCCAGCTGTCTACGGATATACTCCTATCACAACGCAGCGTGGAGGGAACGAGAGAAAGGGAGAAAGAAAGAGTGTAAGACAGAGATATAGTCCTAATGCAGCATAGAGGGAAGGAGAGACCGAGGCACAGAGAAAACAAGAACAAAGAGAAAGAGAGAGAGATACTCCTATACACTGTAGCAGCAGGAAGAGGGAGAACAAGAGAACTTAAGGAGGAAGTCAAAGAGAAAGTGTGTACCTGTTCTCTCTCCGTGTGCCTCCTCTCCTCATCTCGCCGTAGTTGTTCCATCTCTTCATAGCGTCTCCTCTGTTCTCTCTCCTGCTGCTTCCTCAACTCACGCTCCCTTCGCTGTTGCTGTTAGAGAGAAAAAGAGAGTTAAACATGTGTGTGTGCGTGGGTGTGCGTGGGTGTGTGTGTGTGCGTGCGTGGGTGTGTCCTACCTCCTCCAGTCTCCTCCTCTGTTCTTTCTGCTCCTCTATGCGTTTCTGTCGTTCGGCCAGTAGGAGGCGTTTGTGTTCCTCGTTCTGCTGTTGTTCCAACTGCTGCCTCCTCAGAGCCTCAGAGCGTTCCTTATTGGCCAGCTGCAAACGCAGGAAGTCCCGCCTTAACGTCGACTCACCAGGGATGTTGATGATGGAGCTGGGGAAGGAGCAATCAGAAGAGAGTGTTAGTGGAAAATGGGCCAATGAGAGCCTGGAGTTTGTGCTGACTGTGTTTTTTCCGTGTGTGTGTTACCTTGGCTCCCCCACGTCTCTCTCCTCTTCCTCCTCTTCACTCCCGCTGTACTCATATTCTGTCTCATCTGCAGAAGAACACACCACCCGGTTTTAGTGACCTAGCACATCAGATCTCTCAGGAGGAGAAGTGGGTTAACACAGAAACAGGGCCATCTATTTCTGATCCAGGCTACTGATATCGGTCTCACCTCTCTCGCCACGTTTCTTCTTGGTTCTGTCGATGTGGTCCTTCAGTTGGATGCGGATCTGTCGTTCGTTGGGCAGCTCTCTGATGAAGGGATGCTTCAACAGCTGTTCTGTGCTGGGTCTCTGACCATGACTCTTCACCAAGCAACTCTCGATGAACGACTGGAACTTCTTAGACCTGGAAGTAAATATTATTGTTATATTATCCTAATAATAGGGATATTAGTGTGTGTGTGTGTGTGTGTGTGTGATGCAGACTCACCACTTCTTGGACTTGAGTTTGGGGGCGGGGTTTCGTGGGATGAGGAAGAGAGCTCTCATTGGGTGCATGTCACACAGCGCTGCAGAAAGGGACAGAAAAGGGTTAATACCAGTGTGTGTGTGTGTGTGTGTGTGTGTGTGTGTGTGTGTGTGTGTGTGTCCATACTTACGAGGGGCTCCTTCTGCCATCTCTATAGCTGTTATACCCAGAGACCACAGGTCACTCTAAGAGAGACAGGGGAAGAGAGACAGCGAGAGGACAAGTGAGAGCACTGAGTTAGGAGGAGGAAATAAATACATGCAGGGACAAAACACATACTGTGTGAAGCAGAGTATTCTGGGTACCTTGAAGTCGTAGGTGGCCTCAGGGTTCTCGTCGCAGGCAATGACCTCTGGAGCCATCCAATAGGGAGTCCCGATGAAGGTGTTCCTCCTCCCCACCGTTCGGTCTAACTGGGCACTCACACCAAAGTCCACTGACCAGAGACCAATCAACATATCAATCAATTACTCAGTCAGTCAGTCAATTCATTAATTGACCGGTCTGCCTGTCTGGTGCATGACCAATGTGAAAACTGAAGAAGATAACATGTTCAGCAACTCTGGGTAGGACAATGGAATTTCTCTTAAAACCAACAAATGCCTTTGTGTCAGTCGGTCTGTCTCACCCAGTTTGACCTCTGCGTTCTCTGTCAGCAGGACATTCTGACCCTTGATGTCTCTGTGGATGACCTTGTGCTGGTGGAGATGGGTCAGACCCTGGAGAGAGAGAGAGAGAGAGAGAGAGAGAGAGAGAGAGAGAGAGAGAGAGAGAGGGAGAGAGAGAGAGAGAGAGAGAGAGAGGTAGAGAGAGAAAGAGAGAGAGGTAGAGAGGTAGAGAGAGAGAGAGAGAGAGAGAGGAGGTAGAGAGAGAGAGAGAAGGATGACAGAATATGATGAAGAGAAAGAGAGAGATATGGTTGTTCATTTCAGATCACTCTGAATGTGTTGGTTGTGTTGTTCTATAGTAGTATACCAGTAGTAATATTATGTAGTATTAAAAGTACTTCACTACTGTATAAGTATAATAGTAGTAGTGCTGAGCGATGTGCTTTTTGAGGTCGATTATTTAAAAAAAATATCACGGTTTTCGATTTCAATTATTTTTTAAACATTAAATGCACTATGCATTATGTGGGTTGAATGTATTATGTGGGTTGAATGTATTATGTGGGTTGAATGTATTATGTGGGTTGAACACAGAATAAACAATGAATAAACATCCCATGATGGTAGTGACTGCCCATTACTGCTCATCACTTAATAACCATCATTTATTCACATTACTTTACTTATTAAATAGTTCATTTGTTTTATTTGATGACTTTATTATTTCATTCCAAGTCATCATCTCATCTCTATAGAGCTGCTGTCTATGCAGTCTGACAAAATCACTATTTTAGTAGTTCTTCAAAGTAAATAAGGCATACTTTTCTGACTGCTGAATACCAACTATCAATCACTTAGATCATGTATTTTCAGGTAGAGATACCTCGCAAAGCAACTACTTTCTATCCCCTCTCCATCGTGCATTCTTCTGTCTTTTACATAGCAAGCATAAAAGAAACACAGACCGGACAAGTTGGCGCGCAATGGATTATGGTCATTGTAGTTAATTACCACGTTTTCTATGCTAAACTATATAGAATATTGGCCTGTTGGAAACTACAACTCCCTACTACATCGCACAGTTCGGGCTTGATCTGATTTATCTCTAGAGAAACTGCGCAATGTGCGCATTGAATTAAATGTTATTAAAATAACTGAACTGATGTTGGTCAATTAGTTGTTTAAAAACCCAAAAATAACCAAAATGTTGGTTAATCTCTCAGCACTAAATATTAGTAATACTTACCCTGAGGATCTCTCTGCAGATGTAGGCAGTCCACTCCTCTTTCAGTGAGTTCCCCTTGGTGTTCTTAATCAGATCTGTTATTGAGCCTGCCCCACAGAACTCCATCACCAACTACACAGAGAGAGAGAAGGAGAGACAGAGAGAGAGAGAGAGAGAGAGAGAGAGAGAGAGAGAGAGAGAGAGAGAGAGAGAGAGAGAGACGAGAGAGAGCAGAGAGGAGAGAGAGAAAGAGAGGAGAGAGAGAGAGAAGAGAGAAGTGAGGAGGGAGAGAGGAGAGAGAGAGAGCGGAGAGAGAGAGAGAGAGGGTTACCACACCACACACACACCACACACACACACCACACACACACACACAAGGATGCAAATACACATACACTCACACACATACACTCACACACACATACCCATAGCTGGTCGTCGATGCCAGGTGGGTTCTTCTTGACGAAGGCACCGTAGTAGGTAGCGATGTTCCGATGGTGGCTGTACTTCTTCAACATGTTGATCTCTCCTTTAATCTCCTCCTCCTCATCCTGGAACACACACACACAGATTACAATGATGCTCACACACACATTACAATTCTACACACACACACACACACACACATATGCACCTTAGAATGTGTGTATATGTATGTGTGTCACTTACCCCGGTGACATCCATGACCTTGATGGCCGCAAGTTGCCCTGTCTTGACATGACGACCCTGAGACAGAGAGAATATAGTTAATTAATTGACCTAATCATAAAGGAGAATTCCACCCAAAAACGATCTTTTGGTATTTGTTTCATTAGTCCATTGATGACATAAGCAAAACATTTTGAGACTGTCAGAAATCATGTTTTCAAGATATGTAACTTTTAAAAAGAAATATGATGCATCATATAACGCAAAACACAACATCATATGTTGCTAAATGCATCATACAGGGATGACTTCCGTATTTTGAAAGTTGCATATCTTGAAAACGTGATCGATGACAAGCAAAACATTTTGGGACTATGTCAACAATGGACTAATGAAACTAATAACATAATACTGTTTTGGGGTGGAATTGTCCTTTTAATGACCTAATGTTGATCATTAACCAGAATAGCAGCAGGAACCAGACACAAGAGGAAAAATTTTTTATTTTAATGATCATATTTCTGGGAGAGAATAAAGCACAGAATCATAATATAAGAGAAGAGGGGAGGAGGGGAAGAGGGGAGGGGAGGATGTGGGGAATTAAGCAATGACTAGTCACAGGCCAATGAGCTAGCACTCTGACTCACACAGTCTACAGTAGAGCCCATAAGTTTGACCACAAGCGCGCACACACACACGCACACACACACACACACACACGTTCTTGGGGAGATTATTTTATTTTAGGATCAGTCTGCCCCAATTCCACAACTACAAAGACTCTTTGTTTGAGAAAAACAATAGAATTACTCCCAGAATACAGCAGTCTATGGACCTCAAAGTCCACACCAACACACACACGTTGGTGGGGTGTGTGTCAGCTCTCGTAGCAAGGAAAGCCCTTCTCTTCCCTAAGCCGACTCATTCAGAATGTGAAGCTTCATTCCTTCTTTCATTCGTTTATTCATTCTCTCGCATGCCTTCCTGACCTAGATCTGCAGTCTCACGCCTCATAGCACCAACCAGCTGACGAGTGTGTGTGCGCACGTGAGGCTCGTCAGTGTGTGCGCAATTGCTTGTGTGTGTGTGTGTGTGTGTGTGTGTGTGTTTGTGCGTCCACTGCCAACTCCATTACACAAGATCCCCTCAGACACATTTACTATGCAGGACACTTCCTGTCCGTAGCCTAGCAACAGGCCTGGTCAACCAACGTACAGTGGCCAACACACACACACACACACACACACACACACACATCAGGAGAGGAGAAGAAGTGAGCATTGTCCTGCTAGGGTTGAGGGGTGAGGGGATGGACAGAATGACTGAAGGTTTGAGGCTATTTCCATGACCACAGCAATCTCTTCCCTGGAGGAGAGAAAGCTGAAAAGAAAGCGCTTTCTCTCACCCTCCTCTCCCTCCCTCCTCTCCTGCACTGACTAGCCAGTCTACGAAATGCATACTGTTTGCATATTGTGCCAAACAGACACACACACAAACACTGCAAAGAAGGGGTTGCATGCAGTCAAACAGCGGTTGGGGAGTAAATGGGTTATAGCCTAATCCTAATCCATGTCACGGTAATCTGCACACATACAAACACACACACCACTCTCCTCTCTATATCCCAATGTAAAATCACATGTTGACGTTTATTGGGATGAGTCATGTCCTGGAGGCAGAACTGAGCAATTTCCTCTAGATAGGCCAGCTGCAAAGTAAAAATTGACTATATTGTACAAATTCATTTCATTCATTTGCTTTTTGGTCTTAACCTAAGGTTAGGCAGAGTGGTTAAGGTTAGGTTCAAAATCAGATTGTATGACTTTGTGGCTGTGCCAGCTAGTGACCAGTCTGCAAACTGCCTACAGAACAAGATTCATAACAAAAAAATGTTAACCTTCACGTAAATCTGTGATACATCTGCCTCACACATTCCAAAATGTAAACCTACCCCACCACAGTTACACACACCAAGCCCCCCATCCTTCTCATAGAACCCAAAAATCGTCCACTCCCCTCTCTATCATATATGATTCCCCAGGCATCAAAGAGCCACTCTCTCGCCATATACGTCTGGGCCTGAAGCCTGGGATTATCCTAGCAGCCCAACCCAGCCATAGTAAACCCTGAGCGGGCAGAGCAGCAGGCAGAGCAGCATAATCCAGGCCCATGCTCTGGAGCTACACAGGCTGTGTATAGTATCCACTCTGAAGATGAGATGTGCACAAATATGCACACGTAAACACACACAAAAGCATGCACACACACACACACACAGTCTGCAGTGTGAGCTGAAGAGACAGGTTCAGCAAGTCAGCGTCTCACTCCAGCAGTTCTGGAGGTCAAATGAACGACAGAAGAGATTTACTGAGAGAGAGAGAGAGAGAGAGAGAGAGAGAGAGAGAGAGAGAGAGAGAGAGAGAGAGATGAGAGAAGAGAGAGAGAGAGAGAGAGAGAGAGAGAAATAGAGAGAGAGAGGATATAAGAAGAGCAAAATAGAAAGAAAATTGATCAAATGCAGTAGGGGAAAGAGGAAGAAGTACGAGAGAGGATGAGAGGAACAGGACAGGAGAGGAGGGTACGGAGAGGAAAGAAGGCTACGGAGAGGAGAGAAGGCTACGGAGAGGAAAAGAGAGGAGAGGAGAGGAGGCAACGGAGAGGAGAGAGAAGGCTACGGAGAGGAGAGAAGGCTCTACGGGAAGAGAGAGCTACTGAGAGGTGAGAAAGAGAGAGAGAGAGAAGGCTGGAGAGGATAAAGGCTACGGAGATGAAATGAGAGGAGAGAAGGCTACGGAGGAGGGAGAGAAGAGGAGAGAAGGTACGGAGAGGAAAAAGGCTACGGGAAGGAGAGAAGGCTACGAGAGGAAAAAG